GGACACAAGGATCTCCCTGGGAAGGGGAAATACAATAAATAGGCTTTGGAGGTGGACTAGGGTGAATGGGGTGGGAACAGAAGGGATCAGGTAGGGGAGTGGAGGGAGAGAGTATGGAGAGAGACTGGAATTGGAGGGCATGGTGGGGAAGGGATGTAGAACCTGGTGTAGTGGAAACTCCCAGAAATCTACCATGGTGGCCCAGTGGGAGACTCCTAGGTATGGAGGATATGATACTGAGTGGCAATCAAGCAGCTTACATGGGTCCCTGCTAAGTCCTATGCTATGTTTGTTTAGCTTGGGTTTCTTTGTGAGACTCCTAACAGTGGGAGTGGGGTGTCCCTGACTCATTTGTCTGCTCTTGGGACACTTTTTCTTCTTACTGGGTTGTCTCAACCAGCCTTGATGTAAGGGTTTTTTTGCGCCTGGTCTTGTTCTAGCTCATGTTGTGTTCAGTTGACATCCACATCCCTGGGAGTCCCGCTATTTTTTTTCTTTTCTTTCTTTCTTTCTTTCTTTCTTTCTTTCTTTCTTTTTTTTTGTTGTTGTTTTGGTTTTGGTTTTTTGAGACAGGGTTTCTCTGTCCTGGAACTCAAGCTGTAGACCAGGCTGGCCTCCAGCTCACAGAGATCTGCCTGTCTCTGTCTTCTGTCCCACTAGTGCTGGGATTAAAGGCATATACCACCACTGCCTGGAAAAAAATGGGATTTTTTTTTAATCTTTTTTTTTTCTTTTTCTTGAGGGTCTCATTGTGTGGTTCTGGCTGTCTTGAAACTCACTATGTAGACCAGCCTGGCCTTGAATTTTCAGAGATCCTCCTGCCTCTGCCTTCTGAGTATGAAGATTAAAGGTATGTGCCACCATGGCCTGCCAATTTTTTAAAATCTTGATTGCTGGTTCTTTGAAAGGAAAAAAGTTGGCAGATCTGGCAATAGTGGGCAAGAGTTCTCTGAGGTAGCAATCAGAGCCAGGCATTGTGACACATGTTCCGGAGGCTAGGGCAGAAGGATTATGAGTTTGAATCTAGCCTGGGCTGTAGAATGAGACCCTGTCTCAACTAAAATAAAACAAAGACAGTAGCTGGGGTTACAGCTAAGTGATAGCGTTCCTGCCTACCAAGTGTGAGGGCATTGGCTAGACCCTCACTACCACCAACATCAAACAATGAAACCTTTTCTAAAGACCAGGTTTGGTGGTACACACTTATAGTCCCAGTGCACAGGAGGGAAAAGCAGGAGGCTCAGAAGTTCAAGTTGGCAGTGTACATAGTGAGTTCTGAGGCCAGCCTGGACTACATGACTCAAAAGTCGAAAAAAAAAAAAAGTCAGCCTTCAGTTGAGAGTGACTTGTGCCATTAGAATGGGCTTGAACTTACTCACATGCACTATGCCATCTGGCATCAACTCCAGGTTTGTATTGCCCTGCTTTCTGAACTATCTTGGAGCAATCAGACCTTGACAACGCCCACTGCCCTACCCTATCCTTCTGTCTCCCTTTCAGGAAAAACAAAAATAGACTCCCGTAGTTTATTCATTTGCTTAGCACATGTGTAGCTCTTGCCTGGTGATTGCCAAGTCCTGAGACAGAGATGCAAATGGAACATGTTTCTTCCCTTAGAGAGCTATTGATTGAAGATGGCCCTGTGTTGCCCAGTTAAAAGGTAACAGGGAAAGTTGGGTGTGCTGGTTGCATACCTTGTAACCCCAGCACTCCAGAGACTACCACAGGAGGATCTCTGTATATACTGAGACACAGACTGTCTCAAACAGATAACACAACGTAAGGCAGAGGGCGTAACACCCTATTTTATCCTAGTTTCTTGTTTTTTTGTTTTTTGTTTTTTGGTTTTTTTTAGACAGGGTCTCACTCTATAGACCAGGCTGATCCTCCTGCTTTTGCCACCCAGTGCTGGGATTAAAGGAGTATGGCACCACATCTGGCAGCTCTAATTATAAACCGTGTGGTACTGCATGGCTATAATCCCAGCATTTGGGAAGTGGAAGCAGAGAATCAGGAGTTTTAGGTCAGCACCAGCTACATAGCAAGTTTGAAGCCAGTCTAGGCTACATGAGACCCCAAAGAATCTAATTGTATTTATCTTCTGGTTCGCTGTGAACGTTCATTCACTAATTTCATTCAATTCCTCAAGCGCCCGCTAGCGACAAGAGCTTCGCCAGGATCGGTCAGTAAAATAGGAAAAGAGACATGGCCACAGCCTAGTGATATTATATATTTTTTTTATTTTAGATCTTTCTTCCTTCTTTTAGCTAGAGAGTGTCTCATGTCTCGAGGGTGGGAGTGACCTTGAGTTCCTGATCCTCTTGCTTCCACGAAGATGACTGGTAGGCACCACATCTGCCTCTGAAAACGTACAGTACTTTCTTTCCTCTTCATCCCATTAGAAGTCTTCTCTTTTAAAATGGGGCTTTTTTTAATGTAATTTTATTTATTTCTATTTTCTGTACATTGGTGTCAGGTACCCTGGAACTGGAGTTGTAAACTGCCATGCGGGTGCTGGGAATCGAACCCTAGTTTTCCGCAAGAGCCTGTCGATGCTTTTAACCACCAAGCCATCTCTCCAGCCCCATCAGAAAGAAGTAAAAGAGCAGCCGCGCTGAGAATGAGCCCCGTGTGGTTGGTGCGCGGGAGGCGCACTGCCTGCGTTACTAGGAGAGCTGACGGATGACGCCCCGCCGCACGCCGCTCGGCTCGCCCCAGAGGGGGTCGCTTCTTGGCGGACTAACAGTGACTCGCGGGGTAAGTCTGCGCGCGTGTGCACGCGGCACTCTCTGCCCATGGTCCGGGGACTTTCCCCTAGGCGGAAGGGTAAGGAACAAGTCCCTCGTATGTAGCCTAGGAAACAGGCCTTCAGAGCGAACTGCTAGTTAGTCATGGTGGAGCCCCTTTATACCTCTAAAACATCCTTTATTTTACGCTTATGGTGACAAAGTTTGTCGGTTCAATTCCCAAACAACCAGCCACTGTTTTAAGCATGGATACTTTACACTGAAAGATTCTGGAATCACTCTTGCTTGAGGAATAAATATACATAGATAGGAAATTAAGTAATGTAGGAAAGCCAGATGGGGGTGGTATTATGCAAATATTATTTGGCCCGCCCTATGCGGTGGGCGTGGTCA